AACATAGGGAGCAGTTCTCCTCTGTCCTATAGGGTCGCTATTAATCGGAATCAATTCAACAGGAGTGGGTTTATGTTAGTAATGAACAATCTGAAAATAAAATTAAGGGAACATTTTACTTACAACAGCACCAAAACAAATAGGAACAAATTAAACAAAATAAGACAAGACTAGTATGTTGTAAAGTACAAAACATCATGGAAATAAATTAAAGAATACCTAGAGAAAAGACATCTCATGTCTATGGAATTGAACACAGAATATTGTTCAGATGGCAGTATTTCACAAATTGATTTGTAGCTTTCTCTATCAAAATTATACCTGGCTTTTTTTCATAAATTGTCAGGTGCTTCTAAAAATTATATGAAAATGCAAGGGACACAGAATACAGAAAATAATCTTGAAAATGAAGAACAATGTTGAAAAACACGTTTCCCAATTTTGAAACTTATTACAAAACTACAGCAACCAAGGCAATGTGGGATAGACATGAAAACAGACATATGAGGGAACTTCAAAAAGTTGGTGGAAAATAGGAATTTAAAGACAATGGAATTTTTCCATGAATTTTTTTCAAGCACCCTTATATAGAAAAACAAACTAACAACATCAGATATATAGATCAACGGAATATAATTGAAAGCCCAGCAATAAACATACACTTATAATGAATTCTTTAAGAAGAAAGCAAGTACAGAGAAATGGGAATGTCAAAAGGTACATCTGCTTTGGAAAATAATTCTACAAAAAAGGTAACTATAGAACTATAATTTGAACCAGCAATGTTATGACTGTTGTTGTTGTTAAGTACCATGGAGTCGGTTCCGACTCATAGTGACCCTTCCAAGGGTTTCCGAGGCTGTAAATCTTTACGGGAGCAGAACACCTCATCTTTCTCCCACGGAACCGCTGGTAGTTTCGAACTGCCAACCTTGAGGTTAGCAGCCCGATTCGTAACCACTATGCTACCAGACTAGGTGGGTGTTAAGTCCTGCTAAGTCAGTTCCAACTCATAGTGACCCTCTTCAGGGTTTCCAAGGAGTGGCTGGTCGGTTTGAACTGCCAACCTTGTGCTTAGAAGTCCAGAGCTTATCCTACAGTGACACTAAAAAGAAATGAAAACATGTACACAAAACATGTACACAGATATTCATAGCAGTATTATTCTTAATATCTAAAAGATGGAAAAAACTCAACTGTCCAACTACTCATGAATGGAGAAATAAAATGTGTTATATCCATACAGTGAAATATTATTCAGCCTTAAAAAGCAATGAATACTGAAACATGCTACAACATGGCTGAACCTTTCACAAAAGGCCACATAATTTTTCCATTTATATGAATAGGCAACAGAAAGTAGATTAGTAATTGCCATGAGCTGGGAAAACAGTGGACTCCTGGTGTGGTGCTGCCATAGGATTAAACATTGGACTGCAAACCACAAAGTCTGTGGTTCAAACCCACCAGCTGCTCCTAGGAAATCCTATATGTGGTCACTGTGAGTCAGAACCAACTTGACAGCACTTAACAACAACAGGGAAACAGTGGGGGAGGACGGGGTTTACTACTAGTGGGATATTATTGTTGTTAAGTGCCCTTGAGTCTGTTCTGACTCATGTTCAGAGGAGCGGTTGGTGAGTTCAAACCACCAACCTTGTGGTTCAAACACATCTTGCAGTCAGGTGCTTATCCAAATACACCAAGACTTCACTAATGGGATAGGGTGTTTTTTTTGGAGTGATAGAAATGTTCTGGAATTAAACAGTGGTAATTGTTTCCACAGGGTCACTATGGGTCGGAATCGACTTGACGGCACTTAACAACAACAACAATTGTATCCACTAGAGTCCTGGTTTGGCACTGAAGGATATTACTAAACTGCTAACTGTAAGGATGATGGTTCAAATCCACCAACCATTCCTCAGAAACCCGGATACAGGTTTGCTAAGATGGCGCTTAACATTTCTTGCAGGATAAACACTGATCTGCTAATGGGAAATGTCAGCATCAACTCAACAGCACTAAACAACAACAAGAACAATAATTGTTGTATTAATTTGCATTTAATTTGCATTAATTTGCATTTAAAAGGTTGAGTTCTAGGGTATGTGAATTCTCTCTCAAAAAAATAAAAACAAATAAAAAAATAAGAGAGAGAGAGAAAAAAATACTTCTTTTCCTTAGGAACTTATGACTTAACAAAATTGGAAGCTACTTGGACAGCTTCTTATAGTGACAACCAAACACTAAAATCTTACCTCAGTTCCTGTTTCTCTCCAATCCCAAGCTCGACTGCCTCCTGGCCACACTTTGCAGTCCTTATAGGTTTTAGTAGAGCCTTGTACTTTCATCTGTCCCCAGGAGAGGGAAGCAATTTTTGGGGAAGACATAAGGAACTTAATTGAAATCTGAAAGTAAAAGAAAAATATACTATATTAGTCATGAAGTAAAAGTTTTTTAAAACTCCAAAAGTATATATCAGGCAGTCATGGCTCTCTATTACTTTAGAAGCAACTTTCTCACTCATGAGATTGGCACTTTTTCTCTAGAAGTCTAAACACTAAAATGGTATCCTTGGATCTGGAATCACCCAATCATGAAAACCAGATTCTACAAGTACTTCTCAGACTCCAGAGAAAATCAGTAGGATATCGTTTTAGAAATAAAATTAAAAGATAGAGATTTACTTCATCATGGTAGAATGAGGAAGTTGACATATTCTCCCCCCAAAACAAGTATAAAGCTGGACAAGGCTGTCAAGAAACAATCAGTTAAGTACTCTAGAAATCAATTAAAGTCATATTACAAACTAAAAAGCATTTTTTAATGAGAACCAATTAATAAAAACAATGAATCTTAAGATTCTGACATATCAGCTCAAAAGAGAAGTAGCTTAATGAGAAAGAAATGAACAACCTAGAATTGCCCAGATCGGTAGGCAAATGGGTGCACTAATGTGACTTGTAGTTATCTGCTATATAACTAATTGACTATTGGCAATAGTAGATAAGCCACAAGAGTTTTCAGAATGTACAAAAAGAACTGCCTATTATATTAACATGATTTATTTCTAATATGTCATTGTCTGAAAAAATAAACATTTGCCACAGGAGTAAAGTAGAAAGAGGTCTTGTTCATTTTCCCACTCAGGCTTGTTGGTCTGTAGTAATTCTTTCCGTTCTGAAATGTCTAATTTTAATAGCTTTCTTATGACGTCTTTCCTGTATCACCACTTAGAGTGAATCTACCCATTCTCTGTGCTCGAATACCTTTTAGTTAATTTTTAATAGGGTAATTAATACACTTAAGTTTGTTAAGTGCCGTTGAGTCAGTTTTGACTCATAACGACCCTGTATAGTGTTTCCAAGGAGTGACTGGTAGGTTTGAATCGCCAGCCTTGCTTATCCTATAGTGCCACACCAGGACTCCAATTATCACACTAAATTAGATATTATGAGTGTATCTGCCTAACTAAAATTTTCTTATCGAAGGTGGAAACTATGTTTTGTTAACTTTAGTATTCTTCATAGGAGTTTGTCTAAGTGCTGTTTGAAAAGATTTTTTTTTTTTAAATAAAATGGTAAAAATAGATACCCCTTATTGAGCATCTAGCTTATATCACAAACTTTACATGTATTATCTCTAGTTCTTTCAAGAAACTCATGAGGTTAAAATTATCACCATTTTAAATAAGAAAACTCAAGATAGGCTAATTTGATGAGGTTAACAAATCTTGGTTATGTTGAGTTCTGGAATTTAAAAGTTAGACTACGTAACTCTTTCCATTAAAATTATTGTGTCTTTACAGATACTAACAGGAAAAATTTTGGATGAAATAAATTTCAGAATGAGTAGATGAAAAATTAGACTCTGATAGTAAATCACACAAAATATCATCACTACAAGTTTCTGTTTATTAAAAATGCCTTTAAAACAGGACTCCCAAATGTTGATTTCCATAGTTACCATATCTTCCTGCATATAACACATCATGTAATAACTAGCACATACACAAAGTACACATAGGAAATTAACAAGATAGGGGTAGCACAGTTTACAAAAAGTGTATCACGTGTGTTATTTGTATAAAATATGGTATACAGTCGTCATTAACACTCTAACATAATCCTTATGAGATTATGTGTTACAAATATAAACAAAATAACTTAACAGCAAAACAAGACAGAACAAGAAAGAAGTCCTAGTAGTGTACTGTGCAGCTAACCAGAGGCTCAGTGGCAGAAAGATGAGGCTTCCTGCTCCCCTATAGATTTACAGCCTCAGAAATGCAATACAGAGTCACTATGAGTCGGAGCGATTTACTGCACACAGCAGCAGGGTAAAGTGAATGATAACATCCAAGAAAAATGTATTTCTCAAAACAATCAACCTTACATGACTCAAAGTGCAATATTTGACCAAAAATCAAAGCTCACAAGGCAGGAAAGAAGGATGGAAACATGGAACCCAGGAAGGAATTGGAAAGAGCGTTATTACACTGAAAGGACTGCAATAATGCAATGCAATGTTATTGAATGAAAACCTAATATACTCTGTAAACTTTTATACAAACCACAATAAAAACAACAACAAAAAAGTTACTGTAGGTTACAATTATGATATTCAAGGAGCTCTGGTATCTTAAAAATTACGAGTCGGGGAGTTGGGCTACTAACCTCAAGGTCAGCAGTATAAAACATACTCTGTGCAAAGAGGGACTAAGAGATAGAGGCCAGGAGGCAGACTTGCAGAATGCACTGTTTGGTGGTGTAAGTTATTACAAATGCCTGAGAATTAAAAAAAAAAGAAAAGAAAAGAGCTAAAATGAGAGAAATACTGTTAACTGATGGTACATGGAGGGGATTATATTCATTGTAATGAAACAAGGGGTAGGATTTGTTGAATGTAAAACTGATGATCTGCCCTGTAAACTTTCACTCAAATTACAATGAAAACTTAAAAAAAAAACATACTCTGTGGGCAGTAAAGATTTACATCCATCAGACATCAGCAACAATATCCCTCGTTCCATGGCCTCTTCTGAATCCAGCTTGAACCTCTGAACGTTCTCTGTCAATGTAGACTTGCAGTGATTTCTGTATTACCTTTAGTAAAACTTTACTTGCATGTGATATCAAAGAGATCATCCAAGCAAAGATGTCAGCTTAAAGACTAATGTGCGCCTGACCCATGCCATGGTATTTTCAATAACCTCATAAACATGCAAAACCTGGACAGTGAATAAGGAAGACCATAGAAGAACTGATGCTTTTGAGTTACGGTGTTGGAGGAGAATATTGAAAATGCCATGGCCTGCCAAAAGAACCAACAGATCTGTGTTGGAAGAAGTGCAGCCAGAATGCTCCTTGGAGGCCAAGATGGCCAAACTTCGTCTCTCATACGTCGGACATATTGTCAGGAGGGACTAGTTGCTGGAGAAGGATATCATGTTTGGTAAGGTGGAGGGTCAGAGAAAAAGAGGAAGACCCCCAGTGAGATGGATTGGCAAAGTGGCAGCATCAATGGGCTCAAGCATGGCAACAATTGTGAGGTTGGCCCAGGATTGGGCAGTGTTTCGTTCTGCTGTGCTATGCACACAGATCTCCTCGAAATTTAAAATGACAAGAAAGATATACAGCCTCAGAAACCCTAAGCAGGGTTGCTATAATACGGAACCAATTCCACAGCGTACCACCACCACCACCACCACCACCACTACAGTGATATTAAAAAGATTTAACAGTGATAGAATTATAAAGTAACTACTCATTTGTAGCTGTCTTGTTTTATTTATGTTTTTGCAATTCCCTAAAGTGCTGATCTCTCAGTAGTGGTCTATTGTAGGAAGAGAGCACTATGCTTTTTTTTTTTTTTTAAGGTTTTATTGTGGATTGAATACTGAGTGAAAGTTTACAGGGCAGATCATCAGTTTTACATTCAACCTTGTTTCATTACAATGATTATAATCCCCTCCATGTACCAGCAGTTAACAGTATTTCTCTCTATTCACTTTAACAACACTCAGGCATATGTAATAATTTACACCTCCAAAGGGCACATTCTGCAAGTCAGCCTCTTGGCTACCAGTTCTTAGTCCCTCTCTTCCCATGAATCTAGAGTCCTCAGTCCCCCCTCCTCTCCATGACTTCTGCCTCTGTCTCTGGTGTCACTGTTTCTTTGGATAAGGTCCCACATTCTGCTTGTGCTCTTCTCCCTTGGTGGTGTTAGGGTCCTCTGTTTCTGGACTGTAAGATTAAATACTCCACGGATTTTGTTACAAAACTTCTACCTTTAAAATGGTGGCAGTCGCAATTAGTTATGATAACAATTACTCACTATTGAATCATATGAATCTTATCCCCAAATCTTTTCACCAGATCCTTCTAGACAAGATGAAAACTATTCAGTGGGGATTCTTTCTTTCCCCCCACACTCTTAAACTATACTCCCTCTTGAAACCTTGTAAGCCAGTCACTTTGTGCGTTTATGCCCCCCTCATTTTAGGTAGCCAATGTCTAAGTTGCCTGTCCCTATCTACCCTGTGTACAGAGGGGATAGCATTGATACTTGATGTGAACACTCCTTCCCTCTCTGTTGGTATTTAGAGTTACTACTTCCATGAGTATAGGTCAGGTTCATCAAATTGTAGCAATTTACCCTTGTTTCCTTTATAAAAAAATTATTTTTGTAATCTTCCTCTCTGCTATTCATAGAGTTTTCAGTGACAGCATTTGGAAGTAGTTCGTCAATCTTTCTTCCTAGTCTGTCTTTGTCTGGAAGCTCATCTGAACCTGTCCACCATGGGTGACCCTGCTGGTTATTTAAAATACTGGTGGCAGAGCAAAAAGTCATTAAGAAGACAAGAAAGAAGGAAAAGGTCAAAATGGATGACAGAAGAGACTCTGAAACTTGCTCTCCGGTGTAGAGATGTTAAAGCAAATGGAAGAATTGAAGAGGTCCAAGAGCTGAACAGAAAATTTCAAAGATCAGCTCGAATAGATAAAACCAAATACTATAATAAAACATGCAAAGATTTGGAATTAGAAAACCAAAAAGGAAGAACACGGTCAGCATTTCTCAAGCTTGGGGAACTGAAGAAAAAATTCAAGCCTCAACTTTCGTTATTGAAAGATTCTCTGGGCAAATTACTGAATGATGCAAAATGCCTCAAGAAAAGATGGAAGGAATACACAGAGTCATTGTACCAAAAGGAAATGGTTAATGTTCAACCATTTCAAGAGGTACCATATGATCAAGAACCAATGATACTCAGGGAGGAAGTCCAGAGTGCATTGAAAGAATTGGCAAAGAACAAGGCACC